GCATTCTGCTTCTATTTACATTTTACACAGCATCCCAACTTTCTTAGCAATAGGTTTATACTTTCTGTACCTTTTTTCCAGTAAATGAGGTTTATCTTGTTAAAACGACAGTGAAAGTGAAAGGGATTACTTTCTGACAGTAGTGGGAACATATGACTGTGGACCTGGTGTTTAGTGATGTCACTTTTTAGCATCACTGCGCCAATCTGCTGCTTTGCTTTCTTTTTCAGTCTACAATTACTGCAAATGCTCTTCCTTTGTAAGAAAAGTCTCACCTAGATGTACGTCTGTGAGAAGTGGTCGTTTCAGGTTCACCAGTGTCGTCCTCTTTAATCCTCTGCACTGTTGGCACGTGTTACACTGTTGCGCAAAGACGTCTCGATGAGTGTGGATTAAAATCATCGCAATAACTTCTGACACACTGTTTGTATTGCATTGTCACTGATTGCAGAGAGTCTTGTGAAAAGATCGAGAGGAGAGCCGGTTATGACTCCATATGAAACTCACATATGCTCCAATGAGACACAGAATGTAATTACGCTGATTGTCTGTAAAATCAGAACAGTGCTGTCTGCTGTCTCGACACGGGCAGGACTTTGTTAATGAATGTGACTCCAGGTTCACGGTGATGATGGGAAATGAGACTGTACTTCTCCACCTGACTGGTTTAACAGCAGAGGACAGTGGGAGATACACCTGCGAGTGCATAAAACCTGATGGAACATTTAATCTTCATGTTAATGTCCCCGTAAAAGGTAACTCACTTTGTTCTTTGTTTAAATCGACCACACTGTGACTAAATTTATATTCGTTTAAATGAATGAATCTTTGTTTTAAATATGTCTGATATGATAACGCAGTGCATGATGTGTGTTTGATTTACAGATGATGTCAGTCAGAAAAAATTAAATCAGAAAGACTTCAGCCAAAATGACTAATTCCATTTATTTGATTGGTGTGGTGTTGCCGTCATCATAATAAGTGGAGGTATTTATCTACCAAGTGAAGAGTCAATGGTGAGATAATCTTTGACTGTAATGGTATTAAAGCTCATTACACCATTTTGATTGACGTCTTTTGTTAAGGCGCTGTTTGAGGTCAGAAGCATCCGGACAGTGTGTGCATGAAACTCACAGCTCTTTGCTGAGTAACATATTCTCATATTCTAAACACCAGCTAGTTTAAAGTTTGTTACTAGACACACAGAAATGCACATTTACAGTCTTGTGAAGAAAAAACAAAAGACGTTGTAGTCCGCTGAAAAACTAAATACACACATGATTTAGTAGCTTGTAGAACCATGTAAGTAAATCTGCATGCACAGGTCACACTGCAGCATTGAGGTCTGAACTTTGACTCCATTTTTTCTTTTTCCGCCGCTCTGCTGCATATTTGATGCTGTGTCTGGGATCATTGTTCTTTCAAATGACTCAGTTTCACCCAACCTCCTGCTGTTAAACAGATGGTTCTAGAATACTTTGGTATACAGAGGAGTTCATGGACAACTCAATGAGTGCAAGGGCCCCAGGTCCTGTGGCTGCAGAGCAAGCCATAATCACCACAGTGCCACCATCGTCCTTAACAGTTGGTCTGAGGTGTTTGTGCTAATATGTTGTGGTTGGTTTTTTGCATTATGAACAAACATCTCCACTTTGGTCTCATCTGTCTAAAGGTGCATAAAGTCTTTTGGTTTGTTCAGCAGCAGCTTTGCAAAGATGTGCTGCCATGGCCTTTTCAGTCAAAAGAGGATTTCTCCCAGCATCTCACCCAAATGAACCGTACTTGCTCAGTGTTTTCTAATTGTACTGTCATGAATTTAAAATACGCAGATCCTGACTGAAGCCTTTAGAGTCTGAGGTGCAGCTCTGTTTCTCTGAACATTGCACTGGTTGACCTCGGGGGTGAATTTGTCAGGATTTCTACTCCTGTTATGATCGTGACATTGCGTTAACACACTACGGTTACATGGTTACGTGTATATTTATAAAGTATATATAATTATTTGTTGAACCGACTATTGCAGTTTCCCCACGCTTACCTCAGCCTATGACTTTTTTAGCTTGGTTACTTGCACAAATAGGAAGTGGCTGTGAGTTGATTATGTTTGTGTGACAACAAGCATTATATGCTATTTTTCAAGAACATGAACATGACCCAGATGACCCCTACACAAGCTTTCATCAGCCAGCAAATGATCCCCACCAAACACTCTCCTCTGACCAGCATCACACCCAGACACACTCAGCACAGAAACTGTCCCAACTTAATTATCAAGAAATGGATCAGAGGTTTAAAATCTCTGAGAAACCAAAAGCTCGGTTACTACGGACTGTTGTTTGCCACATCGTTTAAATATACTTTGGCAATGTCACAAATGTCATGGTACTGGGTCTATGACCCAGTGTTTTGTGTGTTTCAGTTTTATTCTTTGATTATGGTTATTTTCTCTGTGTTTCATGGTTTATTTTGAAGGGTCTAGTGTGTTTTTGTCATTGTGTTTAGGTTCACTCCCCCTGTGGCATCATTATGTTTATTTCAGTCAGCTGTTTCCCCATGTGTTCCCCCTGATCACCTCCTGTGTGTATTTAAATCTGTCTTCCTTTGTTCATTATTCAAAAACACCAGTTTGACAACAAATTTATTTCCATCTGCAGTATTGATTATGGGGAATGTCTCATGCTCCTGAAACACTGATCATTTAGCTGACCTCATTTCTTTAGGCATATAATTTTGTAAAATGTTGTTAACCTAGACCTGATCGACTGAAATAATCCCAGCCCAAAACATTTCACCACACACTTATATGAACCAATATTCATAACACTGGGTGAAACTCGTAATGCAATCTAAACACAACAAAATGTTTGGAATATGACTCCTTTTTTTCATGATCATCAATTGTGCACAGTTACTCACAGATCTCTCTGATTCTCTGTCTCTGTAAATGCTAGTTGGAAAAAATATTGAAGAATCAAGAAGTTTATTGTCATTTACACCGGGGGAGGTCCTTGATGATGTTGTGTCCCCTTTTTATAAACAGGGTATTATAAGTGACCTGCAGTGATCAGAACCTCTTTTCTGACGCTTGCATTCGTGATCCTGTTCTTTCTGTAACTACCTAGTAGCTCGTGACCATATGTGAGGGCAGGGATGTAGATCAACCTCTACACCAAGAGCCTCACCTTTATGCAGCACTCTCTTTACTACACAGACTGGTGCAGTGTCTGTATCACAGCAGCTGTAAAAGTGGACAGCAATTCAGACCTGGTGATGATTTTCATTCTCAGAGCTTCACACCTGGCTGTGAATGTTGAATGTGAATTGTTGGCAATGTGGACCAAGTTCCTACAATGGTTGTACTGAAATGAGCCACCATCTCAAAGCGAACTTCATCCTCCCCAGATGCTCAGCTACTGCCTCAGTGACCTTACCCCCAGTGATGGGTGTGTCAGTTTTCCTTCCACTGTCTGACTACATCCTCTGTTCAAGTCAGCAACACCCCACCCCAAAGGTGGAGAACTTGGTCCACTGTCCCCAGCCCCGGCCCATCCTCTGAAAGTTGTTGAAGTTCTGCTGGAGGTGGGAGTTGAAGGTCTCAGAGACCAGGGCCTCTGCCAGTGTGAGAGAGTGCACAAGGTCTGTCCAGCATGCTCTCCCGCCAGCTGACTCACTACCATGTGATCAGTTCAGTCCACCTGAATCTCTATGATGTAAAATGGGGTGAGCTGGTCTTGTATGTTCCTTGGGTTGCTAATCATCTCCTTAGTCTTCTCAGCCTTTAAGGAGAGATGATTTTATTTGCACCAGGACACCAGCTGTGCCACCTCTACCCTGTAAGCTGTCAATAATAAGCCAGATGACGGTTGTGTAGTCAGTTAAGTTGATGGAGGTGTTTCTTTGGGCGAGGACGCAGTCATAGGTGGAGGTTGTACACGTACAGGAGTGGACTGAACACACAGCCTTGTGGATCCTTTGGATCCTTGTTCTCGGTGTCTTTGTGCCTGATGTCCTGGTACCAGCTATGGCTGCATAAAGTC